ACTCTTTTCTTTTTGGCACATACAAAGAAATTCAAGAGAGAAAAAAGATTAGAATCTTAAACCTGAAAGACGAGTAACATCCGTCAATCCAAACCTTATCTTTTTAAGACTTTTTTTTCGATCTTCAACATTCAAATCTAATTATATATATGGATTAGTGAATAATGTAGGTTAGAAATTAATAAGAAATTATAATACTCCAAAAGGTGAGAATTGTCAAAGCAAAAAGCAAAAGAGGGTATGGTGTTTTCTTCTTTGTTAAAAAAAAAAAAATTTAATGGGGTTTGTTGAAACCTCCATCATATAATGGCAGCAAATCTTACTTGATATTAAATAATGTTTGACCAAAGGATTGTCGTTTTTTATTGAACAATAATGCTGTGGGGGACATTGCTATTTTTTCTTTTAATCTTAGGCTTATCTGTTATAAATGTTTGTTTTAAAAAAAATTGCCCAATGCTTTAAATTAAATTTGGACCACACAAAGCCAACGAAAATGCCTCATGTTTTTGTTACAACATTTTCCACGTTACTAAATTTATTACCAAGTCGGTGTTGAAAATAATTAGGTATTTATCAAAGTCAAGATTAGCCCAAACATTAGCCAAAATACTTGCTCAAGCCATGGCTTTGTCTAAATTTTTTTCTTTTAATGTTTTTATTATTTTTCTTCCCTTTAGCTTTATGCTCCTTGGTATGTATAGTTTTTTTTTGGAAAGTGAACGATTTAGGGAACATAGTAATACCGCAGAATAATTTTCGTCAGGTAATAATATATTATTAATTACATGGTCGAATTTATTTATTATTTTTCATTTTTATCATACATATAAAGGTTAATTCATTAAAATTCAAATTTATATATAAATATCTATTCATATATATATTTCCCTTCTCTTTACCAATATATTCAAATATTAAAATTTATATAGAAAAATTTGAAATTCTAATATTTAATTTATGTATTTCACCGGAAATTATTTATCTCTAATTTAACAAAAAATCAAGTTTTGATAAGAAACATCAAAAGTGATCTACAATCGAGAAAAATTATAAATTTATTTATTTTAAAATATATAGTAAAAAAAATTAAAGTGAATATTATTGACATTTTTTTTTTACAAGTAAGCCACGTTTTAAGAAAATTATTAAAGAAAATTGCTTCAAACTTATGAAAATTTATCTTAAAAAAAATAATGAATCGAAGTCTTAACTTACGAAAATTTAACTTCTAACAAATCAGATGGACCAATTTATTGGCATTTTCAATATTGCAATGGAATCGCAAAAGTTTCCTGTCACTGCTGATTTGATTTGATGTAAGGACTGACCTCAATGGTAGAACCAATAATGTTACGTAAATTTCAGAGGCATCCATCCATTTTCATTGGCATCATAATGATGAGTTGATAATTGAAACGAGGCCCTACCTTTCGCTTTCCTAAATGTTCACATCTATGTCATTTGTCACCACCCAACCTTCAAATTTCAAGAAGAAAAACGATGGGGAATTGCCTTTCTCATTGTCATTTCTTAATTTCACTTCCATCACTTCATTGTTGACTTGGAAAACCCATGGTTTGAACCTTAAAGGGCACGCTAAATTCACAATAATTCAATGCTCAAAAGTTACTATATATTCCCTTCTTCCTAGCCAGCTTCTTATGATCAGTCCCCAATCCGTTGGTTTCCACTAAATCGTAAATGAAATCTAGCTGTTATGCGTGAATGTTGGTTAGGAAGTCAGAACAGGAAGTATATAGTGATAATACGGTTGATTGGACCTATATTACAAGATTTTTTTCTTTAAAAATAAATAGAAAAGACATTCATACAAGTTGAAACCAATTAAACATGTGTAGTTTCTTTCTATTTTGATATGAAGATAAAGGATTTAAATTCATTTTTTGAATGACAAAATATATGAATTTATTATTGAATCAAATGTTTAAGCGCAAATATGAGTAATCTTTTGATTATATATGACAAATGACTTGTGTGTGAATAAGCACATAATTAGATTGTGAATTTAAATTTTCAACATGTTGCTTAGGAATTTTCTGATGTTTGGGCACCAGTCTTTCACTTCTTTGTTCATTATTAGTTGTAAAACTTGCAAAACTTCAAACTAATAATTTAGAAAAACGGGAGATGTTCTAAATACGATATTTAGTTCAATTAATTTATATAATTACTTTTAAAAGATGATAGTTAACAAGTTTGAGATTTAAATTTTAATATTTGCAACTCATTCTCTTGTTTTTAGATGACACCTTCCTTAGTTTGTAAAAAATTAAAAGAAATGTAGTGTTCTGAATGTGTATCATGTTCACTGTTTGAACAAGAGGGGCAAAGGCAAGAGTCATATGAAGGCAACATGAATTATGGTGGCTATCATATGAAGGCAACATAAATTATGGTGGCTATCTTTCCACGAAACCATGACCCAAACTAACTTTAAATTCCCAAAATCATAATTTCAAACTTTGCCCCAAACTTTTATTGACAATAAAAACTCCAAACAATTGAAAATTTCTACACAGCTCATTAATTTCCAAGATAAAAAGTGGTGGGGACCTAACAAAATAGGAAACAATTTCAATCCACATAACATGGACATCATGGGTAGTTTCTGTGGGCATATCATAGTATGTAATAAACAGCAGCAGTTCACATTTCTGCTGTTGAATTTCTTGCAAAAATATGGTGTTATATAGTATATTATATAAAACCAATATACTAAGGGACAAATATATACATATATATATTTATAAAGATGGGTGAATGTTGAATTGTGTCGTTAAACTTTAATTTTTTTTTATTTTGGGATAAAAATAATGAAATTGTTCATAAATTTCCCGCTTACGTTTTCTCTAAAATCGACGAAATCGAAAATATGATGAAAATTTTAATATTAAATCATAATATCTCAAAGGAAGATTCATGTTTCTCAAAATAACATTTGTCTCCAACAAAAAGCTTTGGTTGGTTGGAAAGTAGTACTAAAATTTTTCTTTCTGGTGAGAGTTCATGCACTTTGTTTCAATTGTTGTTACATAAAGTAGAAGCAGGCAAAGAGAGACACAATACCATGAAAGGATGGTCAAATAACTGAAAATTTTGATCTGTTCATGTTATTAATCAGTCAATTCAAGCTGATTTTCTTTTTCCTTGAATTAAATGTCTGTGCCAATCAAAACTGTGAATGGGATTTGAGACTTGGTCACTTTGAATGAAAAATCCAAATTCTAGTCAATCAATCCCATCAAAAGAAACAGTGAATTAAGAAGAGCTTTTCCATGACTACTGTGTTTAATCGATTGTTCATGAAATAATATAGTGTGAATATTCAAACTAATTTCACTTTGAATTCAATCTTTTATTTCCCTAACTCATTTATTCTCCTTTCAAATCATGATGGCAAAGTAGAACTATTCATAAAATCTTTGATTCTCTGCCAGAACAACAACAAAAAAAAAAAAAAAAAACTTTGAATCTCTCATTCATGGGAATTTGACCTGATTAGTTAGGATTATACAGTTGATTAGTTTGATAAGTAGTTCGAAAAGTAATGATTTCAATGCGGTGGAAATTCATTTTCAATATATCAAAGTAATGACTGATGCCATGAGAATGAATTTTTATCGCATTAAGATTACAATTCAACGAATAGGTTCATAATCTTATTAATTTGATAAAGCCTTTTTTTTTTCTTGAAAATCTTATTGATAAAAGGAAAAAAAAAAAAGAGAATAGTGATATAATTTCTTTGTATCTGCTAATGTAATAATGAACATGGGAACTAATTAATATACATCTTGATGAAGGAATACACAGAACAAGGAGATGCTCTTTTTTGAAGTTAGGTTACATGCACCATCAAAAAGTAAGCAGCTTCCTTTTTACCTACTAGCCAAACACTTGGGAGAGGAAACTTTTGCATGTAACCCCCTTCTTTGAGAGAGATAGGGCATGGTATAGTTATCCTTAAACTTTCCGAAACAGCTCAAACTTAAATAATTATCTTTTTTTTTTAGCGTAAATTGAGGTTTAATGTTTGAATTTATATCATTATTTAATCTTTCTTAAATCTCACGAGGAAGCAAATTATGTTTAAAGTGTTACGTAATCATGATCAATTTGATCATTTTAATGCCCTAATTTCATTTGAATAATAAAATTTACGTTGTAAGAAAATTACATTCAACCAAAAATATAATAATTTATATCGCATTGAAATACCAATTTGAAAACAATATCTATTGCTTAGAAAGGAGAAATATGCAGAAACAGTAATTTTGAAAAGCAAATATAAAGAAAGAAAAGAAAGATGAGCTAGCCGGCTTGTGAGAATGAGCTTTAGAGCCATGCGATGAGTGATGAGTGGTCTCTGTCCATCCATCATTCTATCTCGTGGCAAGAAAATGTTGGAGACAGCTATAATAGTTTGACTAAAAAGGTTAAAAAAATATAATCAAATTGGAGGGAAAATTTATTTATTTTTTTTGTAACATGTGTCAACCTGCTTTAGGATTTGATTAAAAAAAAAAAAAATAGAGGTCTTGACCAAATTAAGAAGAGACAAAAATCCACCGTTCACAATTTATTACATTAATCATGTAAATCTTGAATTTATGTTAAACATTTATATTTCTAACCAATGGGTACTTGTCATGTCCAAAACTAAAATTTCCAAAACATCCTTTAATTATTTTTTTTATTCCTAAAATGTTATGATTTTTATTTTAATTATTTGAATTAAAATTTTAATATTTTATCAATAAATCATATGATTTGTGATCAATTTAGTAAATATTTTGTTAAATTTAAAGTTTGTTCTTCCACTGTACAAAAACTAAGGAATTAGAAGATGACTGTTTTTAATGTTTTTGTGTGCCGTGTTTTTTTTTCTTCATGAGAAGACACGTTTCAATTGGCCGGCACCAAATCCCTTTGACTTGTCCCAAACTTTTTTCCTTTGCTTGGCTTCTTTGATTTCCTCTATCTATATATACATATGTTTCTTCGTGCATTACATGACTTTGTTTCCAAAGTTAATACTTCCAACTTCAGCTTCTTCTTATCCAAAGAAGGCAAATTTTAGGGTTATTTGTTGTCTTAAAGAGAATACTTTTGGAAATGGGGAAACCTCCTTGTTGTGACAAAAATGGACTGAAAAAAGGTCCATGGACTGCGGAGGAGGATCAAAAATTGATTGATTATATTCGAAAACATGGGCATGGGAGATGGCGTACCCTTCCCAAAAATGCAGGTATTTCAAAACTTTCAAGATTACGTCTCGTGAATGTTTTAATTCAAAACCCGTATACTCTTATATGATAGTTTAATACTTAAATCCTCGAACCAAAAGCTCGAGTTAGGTTTTTTTTTTTATGTTAGTATGATTTAGCACTCGATCTCTTTGTATAATCCATGTTTCATTATTGTAGGGTTAAAGAGGTGTGGAAAAAGTTGCCGGCTTCGATGGACGAACTACTTGAGACCTGATATCAAGAGGGGGAAGTTCTCATTGGAAGAAGAGGAAATTATAATACAATTACACAGTGTTTTAGGAAACAAGTAAGTGTATTAATCAACTGATTAATAGTGTTCTTAACCTATTTTCCTTTTGTTTTATATTTTATATTAAGAATAATTAACTTAACTACCTACTAGTTATGGACTAATATAGAGCAAAGTCAATGATGAAAAGGGAAAGCACATCAGACATGCTTTCTTTTTTGTAAGAAACAAAAGACAAACTACTGCAATTTTATCGAACATGTTTGTTTAGTACTGTCTGATTTACTCTTTTTTTCTTTTTTGCTGTAAACTTAGGTGGTCTGCTATTGCTACTCGGTTGCCTGGAAGGACAGATAATGAGATCAAAAACTATTGGAACACTCACATCAAGAAGAAATTATTGAGAATGGGAATTGATCCTGTAACTCATAGTCCTCGTCTTGATCTTCTTGAACTCTCCTCACTTCTGAGCTCATCTCTCTACAATTCTTCTCAGCTTAATCCAACAGGTTTGCTTGGAATTGGATCAATGTTCAACCCAAACTGTCTGAACTTAGCCACAGCCCTTATGACATCCCAGAACAAGAACCTGGAAATTGGTACTACGCCTGGAAATGTTCAACAAAACCAGACAGGGAATTTCCAATGCCAAAACCAGTGTGAATTCTACCAGGGAAATCAGGTTCAGAATCCAATTCAAGCTTGCACCCAAATTTGGCAAGCCAATTTGAACCATTTTTCTACAAACCCCACCAGCCTAACTTGCCAAAATAGTACTCTACCTAACTTGTGGCAAGAATATGACAGAGAGAATATTAATGTCAGTAATTCAAAGGGATTTTTTCCCATGCAAAACTATGGCTACCATGAATTTAATCAATCCAATATCAACTCTTTGGCTGGTCAAAACCAAACTTTTTTTTCTGAAAACATCCCAAATTTGAATACTTTCAGGTCACTTCTATCGACACCTTCTTCTAGCTCAACTCCCTTGAATTCATCGACGACATATGTCAACAACAATGGCAGCAGTACTGAAGATATTGAAAGAGATAGTTACTGCAGCAACATGTTGATGTTTGATGTTCCTAATGGATTAAATGTCAATGGAAGTGTGTAATATTTGAAACAAGTTAATGTTTGAAAAAAAAGGTTAGATTGAAAGTCTTTTTAATTGTTCAGATTTTGACTAGGGGATTGCATTTTGTAACATCTATGTGAATCTGAATTTATATATTATTTTTGTAGAAGATTTTTGTTGAATTAGCATGCTTAATTTCTCTTTTTGTCATTTCGTTGATACAAATTCTCAAGGTTAAGATTGAAGTTATATTGTTCAAATTGACATATATCCAATATTCTTTTCCCATATAAAACAAGTTGAATAAGGAATTGCTGGAGTTTCAATGCAGCATTATTTGCTGTTAGGTGTACATCATTTCATGGGACCCTAAACTATTGCCAATTATGCAAAAACCAAAACAATAATATTATATGCATACAGCCTATATTAACTTCTTCCTTTGTCTAATGGAAGTGAATATTTTTTTTTTTACCAAGAACAAGAAGATAAGGACAAGGAATGAAAAAGTACAAGAGGAAGTCAATGTCATTCCAATAGAAAACTTGCATCAAACTTTCTCTAAACCCATTTACATAGAGTTTTTTTTATTTACTAATAATGTAATTTTTTAATTTTAAGAATGAGATGAAATAACTGTTAATGTTTTAATTTTAATTAGTTTTAATTTTTTTTATTTCAAAAAATATGTATTTTTGAAATAAAATTGATATTATAATTTTTTATATAAAAATGTTGTAGCATAATTTTATAAATAAAAGATATATTTCATTTATGATCTCTTTTTATCTCTTATTCACTGCCAGTTATTTGTTTTTCCAACTAATAATTGAGAGAATACTTTAATATGTTATTTTATATAACTCAAAGAGTATGGGATATAAGATTTAATATGTTATTGTTGTAATATCTTTAAACAATATTTAAATCATTAATTTGTTTAATTATTATAATAAAAATGTTTATTTTCGTACTTTTAAATAAAATAATATTTAATTTTTATTAATATCAAACACTATAATATTTAATTCATATGAATTAATAATTCTTAAATAAATAAAATAATTTTAAATCATAAGTGATAAAATTATTTTTGTAATATAATCACTTTTATTGATTACATTATCATGATAATCTTAAAAATATGCCAACGGTAGCTTATGATAGTGTTAATTTGATAAACCTATTAAATTTCCAACCATTTAACTATGAAATACATATTAAAATAATGTACTCATGAACTTGTAATTTAATTTAATGTCCTTAAAAAAATCTCAAGAAAAATCATATACTATAAATAATTTTTGTTGAGATTTTTGGCTCAAAAACTTTTACAATAGAGATTTAAAATTTTTTATTTTTTAAAAATCAAAAGAAAAAGGAAAAAGAAATGAAAACCCTTTTTTTTTTTTCTTGTCCAAAGAGGTTTGAAGTTGATTCAGAGAGGACTTGTTTCAAAAGCACACTCAACTTTTGTTCCTTTCTTTCAATTAAAGAAAAAAAAAAAAGCAATCTTTCGGCGCAAAAGAAGAAAAAAAAAAGTCTTTGCATTTGCTTAAGCTTTAGGGCAAAAATCTTGTTCTTTTCCTCTCTTTCACTCTCAAAAAAACCAAACCAAAACAAACATGGAGGGGATAAACCCTATGGATCTGCTCCGATCCAATCTCTCTCGGGTTCGGATCCCCGAACCCACCAATCGTATCTACAAGCAAGAATGCTGCCTCTCGTTCGATTCTCCGGTACTTTTTTCTTTTCAAAATTTTATTCGAAATTATCCGTCTGTTTCTCGAGAAATTACTGGATTGCTGGTGACTAATTTTAACTAAAAACATTAACTTGATAGGCTATGTGTTTTCACTTTATTGTTTGGCTTTCGAGAATGTTTATTGGAAATTTTCGCTATTTTTTAATCGCATTTTTTAGTTTGGCTTCCGACGGAGTTTAGTAACGTTTAATTCTTTTACTAAAGTTTGTCCCTTCTTTTATTAAGCTGTTTAGGTTTTGTTTGTTTAAATTTAGTAAGAACTCTCAAATGAGGTTAAATTTTTGCAGAGATCAGAAGGAGGATTGTTTGTTGATATGAATACGTTTCTAGCTTTTGGTAAAGACTATGTCGTTTGGAACTATGAGAAGACTGGAAATCCAGTTTATTTGCATATTAAGCAAACGAAAAAGTTGGTACCGGAAGATAGGCCTTTGAAGAAACCCACACTTTTGGCTATTGGTACTTTTACGATATTATTATCCTTCTTTTTATACCGGTTATGGTGTGGTTAATTTGTTGCTGCATTGTTATACATTGTGTTATCCTGTTCTGGTTCTTGTGTGAAGAAGTGACTTTTAAGGAATTGAGAGTAGTGCCTGTTTGTGTTCCACTTAGTTTTTCCTGAAGTAGTCATGTTGGATATCTGACACCTCAAAGTATAGACATTTGGTTTGATGTCCCGGGGCTCAAAATATAATGGAAAACGATGAAAATACCCATGTCAAACTCATATTCATCATAGGTTGAGACCATTTGGCAATGCACTCCCCAGGCCAGTATGTTTTATTTCTTTGATAATGAGTTGGGAGTATAAATGGTGCTTGCAACTGTTAATGAAAAAAGTTGAACTAATTTATCTGTGTGCTAGCATGTTTACAGCTGTTGCATGTTTGATGCCTGTAGGACTCTGCATGTGGAACCCATGCGAGAACTTCAAATTGATAAAAGTTCACAATTTTCTTAGTACCATCTGTTAGGGTGAAAGAGATTAATCTGTGCAATTTGATTTATAGGTATCGATGGTGGATTTGACAACAATGAACCAGAATATGAAGAAACCCACAATATAGTCATTTTGCCTGATTATGTAGCTCTTCCATTTCCATCTGTGGAGTTGCCAGAGAAGGTATTGCTTGTCTCATTTTTTATTTCTTAGAATTTTAATTTAAAAGATCAAATTCCTCATCTTGGACAAGAACCTGGCTTGGTTACTCCATACAAACACTGTAGGTAAGGTTGGCAGTCGATGCTATTTTAATGGCAGAAGGCGCTGAGCGTAAAGAGCAAGTTGCAGCCTGGACGGCTGATAAGAAGCAAATAAGTGGATATGCAATGGATTTACGGCAAATTGGCAGTGTTGTTGTTCCTCCAGCTGGTTGGAAATGTGCTAAGTGCGATAAAACAGAAAATCTCTGGTTAAATCTTACTGATGGAATGATCCTGTGTGGGAGGAGAAATTGGGATGGAACTGGTGGTAACAACCATGCCATTGATCATTACAAGGAGACTGGCTATCCTCTTGCTGTAAAGCTTGGGACCATTACTGCTGATCTGGAAGCAGCAGGTAATGTTTCCTTGTATTTCACTGTCAATTTGTGTTTGTTTCTGGTGTCGTTTTAGTAAGTTCTTATTGATCCATGATTGGTATGAACTATTTCTGCTCTCTGTTATACATGAGAACTCAACCCTACATATTTTTGTTTTAAAACTGTGGTTTTTGGCACTGAAATGCACTTTGATAATTATCTGTCTTTTGAGCATTGGTGGGGACATTTGTCAGAACTTACCATGGGTAACTTATTGTGGCAGCTCAGATGTTTTCTCCTACCCAGAGGATGATAGTGTTTTAGACCCACTTCTAGCACAACATTTGGCATATTTTGGTATTGATTTCTCATCATTGCAAAAGGTTAGCTTTTTCTGTTGATTAATAATTTGCTGCCTACTGCTTGTTTAACTCCTTAAGATGCATGTACATCATGATAGTGTAGTTGCATATGCAATTTTGTTATGTAATTAATTTCTATTCTACTTTTTTATTTATTATCCATGGCAATTTCATTTTGCTCTTACATTCAGGCAGTTGTCTGGAATCCCTAAGTTTGATGCACAATCCCTTTTCAAAGAATCCCCTTGATGATACTTTGATATATCTAAACCTTTTCATGTAATTATTGCTTTTAGAATGATAACTTTTGCTAAAAACGAACTGTGTTAGCCTTAATGTCTTTAACTTTTGTCGTGGTTGGAGTTTCCATAAATGAATTTTACCTTTTTGACTAGAACTATAATGTGTATAAATTTGATGGGCATTAGCTTCAGTGGTAAAGGAGTGATATGGTTACTTTAGCATGTAAGTTTCAAAGCTTACCAGAAAAAAAGATAAAAAAATATTGTTGTGTTTATAAATGATTTAATGTCTAGTTAGAAATTAAAATAATTTCCTTGTTTCCAGACTGAAATGACAACTGCTGAAAGGGAGCTTGACCAGAATACCAACTTTGATTGGAATAGAATTCAAGAAAGCGGACAGGATGTGGAACCAATTTTTGGACCAGGTTATACAGGTCTTGTGAATCTTGGAAACAGGTAATGTTGATTGTGATGCAGGGCTACCAATCACAATTTAGTGTTTTGATGTTTCTGATTACCTAAATTTTTTTTTCATGTAGCTGCTACATGGCAGCAACCATGCAAGTGGTGTTTTCAACACATACGTTTTGTAGAAGGTAAATTATAATGTTCATACATTTAACTAATTTAGTAAATCCACTTATATTTGGAATTTACTATGCTTATTTTTTTTGCCTTTTCTACTTTGACTATGCAATCAGATACTATATGAACCAAAGCTTAAAAATGGCTTTTGAGACAGCCCCAGCTGATCCAACTGTAGACCTGAATATGCAGTTGTAAGTTACCATTCTTGTGGTTATTAATTCCTAGATTTCAATATATTATGTGTTTAAATAGTTTCCTTAATGTTGGTAGTAATGATTATTGCTGTATTTCTCGCCAAAGATTACTTGGTGGTCCTTTATGTTAATTGATTTGGTATTTCATTGCCTGTTTTATTCTGCTGTGTATTTGATAAGTAGTATAATATTCTTTTCCTCTTGCTACTTCTAATCAATGATATGTAACCACTTCCTGGTTGTATGGCAGAACAAAACTGGCACATGGTTTGCTCTCTGGTAAATATTCTGTACCAGCATTAGAGGTATAGCAATCGTTTCAATCTATTTGCCTTAACACAGTTGGATTTTTTCCTGATTAATGAATTAATCAATTAACTTTTTGGTCATGCAGAAGGATGGAACTGCTGCACCCGCAACAACAGATGCTGTAAGCTTCCCACTAAATATCTATGCTGAGTTTGGTCTGATCTTGGAGATTCTTAGATTATGTCACTGAGTTTCTAACTATATTGTGATTATATTTGCAACCTGCAAGTTTCTGATTGGCCATAGTTTTAGTAATAAAATTGTGCTATGCAACTTAGATATGCTTAATCACAAGTGTTTGCATGAAATCTATCGTGATGTATTATCTGTTTATAGATTCTATGTTGACTTGAATGAGATGCTTGCAGATAGAATTTGTTGTAATCAATATTTCTCATATATCTATCTATATATTTTTAGATCTTGACAGTTGCCTTCTTAACTTCGCTTTTCTCTTTTCATTTGTCAACCTTTTGAAATATTAGAAACAGAAGGGATCCCCCCTCGCATGTTCAAAGCAGTTATTGCAGCCAGCCATCCTGAGTTTTCTACTATGAGACAACAAGTATGCTGATTACTACTTCTACTATGAAATTATCATTTGGTTTCTATCATTAACTTTTATTTTTCCACCTTTCCAGTTCACATGAAAATGGTTCTTTTAGTTTCCATAGTTTGACTTGGAGTTCTAGTTTTAGATATAGCAATGTTAGTTTGACTTAGAGTTCTAGTTTTAGATATAGCAATTAACTAACTGACCATATACAGCATTGCAATCTGGGCTTCTGCATGTTAATTCTAACATTGCACAACATTGGATGAGTCTTGGGGGCATGAAGTTCTCTCCATGTAGCCATCATTGTCTCAGTGGACACTTGAATTATTCTGTAGGATGCATTGGAATTCTTCCTTCATTTTCTTGACCAAGTTGAACGTTCAAATGCTGTGAAACCTGAAGTGGATCCTCAAGGAGTTCAAGTTTGGTGTTGAGGAGCGTATCTTGTGTTCATCTGGAAAGGTTGCTTATAATAAAGGCTTGACTACATTCTTTCTTTGAATATTCCACTGCACGAAGCTACTAATAAAGGTAAGTTTTGACTTTATACATGTATATTTATGCATGTTAGATTGTGTATTTCATTTATATCTATATTCATGTATTCAAAAAGTTAACTTTCTAATGATTTACTCTTCGTGAATTTAGAAGAGCTGGAAGCTTTTCATAAAATCAAAGCTGAAAAGATTTCAGAAGGGAAGGATGTGTAAGTTCCAGTGGTCTTATATGATACTTTTAGCCTTATGTAGACCTTTTCCTTAGGATGCCTTGTTTTACAGATCCAATGATGAAATTTTACGTCCAAGGGTACCTCTAGAAGCATGCTTAGCAAACTTTGCAGCTCCAGAGGAGATACATGAATTTTATAGCACTGCATTGAAGGCCAAGACGACAGCTATCAAGTAAGATTTGTGTTCTTGCAAAGGGTTGGTTATCCCTTAGTTAATGTGTATTATTTTACAAGGTTCATATAAGCATATAGTTTCCAATAAAAAAAAAAGGAGAATATAGTTTACTGATGGTGTTTTTGTCAAGGTTGTAGACTGGCAGTCCTAGAGTATTCTTTTATTAATATCTTAGTGTGTTCAGAGGCTTATTTTTCTCCTTTGTATTTTACACTACAGGACTGCTGGTTTAACTTCATTCCCTGATTATTTGGTATTGCATATGAGGAAGTTTGTCATGGAGGCAGGCTGGGTGCCTAAAAAGCTTGGTACTTTCATGACTTTGTTACTATGTAGCACATTGCCTGTTTCTTTCAAGTTGATATCATTATGTATATTGTCCATCCAGATGTCTACATAGTATGTTCCTGACATCATAGATATAAGCCATATGCGCAGCAAAGGCCTTCAACCTGGAGAGGAACTCTTGCCAGAGGCTGGTATGTGAATTAATAGATTCCATTAATGGTAATGATAATGTTGATTGAGACGTCGATGATATAAAAGAGGAGAATTATTGATTTTGTAAAATTTTCTCTTGGAACCTGTTATTTGTACTGCATAGCTCCTGAGGGAAGGGCAGAATCAAGCCAGCCTGTGGCCGATGAAGAAGAAATTGTTGCCCAGCTTGTCTCGATGGGGTTTAACCAGCTTTATTGTCAGAAAGCTGCCATAAATACTTTAAATGCCGGTTTAGAAGAGGCAATGAACTGGTTGCTTTCGCACATGGATGATTCAGGTATTCAGAATTTAGCATTATAAGTATAATCTTGAATTTTTCTGCAAGTTATCTGCCTTTTAGAGCTGTGACATAGACACATGATACCATATCAAATGATGCTCATTAATGTATCTTTTCAGATATAGATGCTCCTGTCTCCTATGGGGCACAAGGTGCTGAGGCATCTATTGACCAATCAACAGTCGATACTTTGATTTCATTTGGTTTTCACGAAGAAATTGCTCGAATGGCATTGAAAGCATCGGTAAAGTCTTTACAGCATTTCATTTCTTTTGAGGATTCAGAAAGCAGTTTCCTTATCTGTTGGAAACTCACAATCGTGGGGCATGTACATTTTTACAGGGTGGCGACATTGAAAAAGCAACCGATTGGATATTTAACAATCCCAATGCCTCGGCTTCATCAGATATGGATACTACGAAATCAACAACGAACAGCACGCCTACTCCAGTTGATTAGGATTAACCTGACGCGAGGAGGGAGTGAGTCTCTCGAGTCTCGGTTATTCTGTTTATTTGTTTCATAGTCATGCATAATGGTCATCTGACCTAAACCCCATTGTAATGTTTTCTTAATGCAGGATATCGGCTTTTTGGAATAGTAAGTCATATTGGAACCTCTACTCAGTGTGGCCACTATGTTGCTCACATTCTCAAGATGGTAGATGGGTCATTTTCAATGATGATAGGGTCGGGGCTTCTATCAATCCACCCAAGGACATGGGTTACTTATACTTTTTTGAGAGGATTAATAGCTGAAATCAAAGGTTAGGCCTTCTTTAGAAGTGGCTTCAATAACATTGGCACATTCAAAGGTTTGTAATTACGACAAGTCTTGAATTATTAATTGATACCTTGTCTAACATTGATTGGTTTCCAAGCTTATTCTTAAATCTTAATTAATCAAATAATCAATCCTTGTGGTTTTTTTTTTTTTTTTTAACCCAAATCAAACGTTTCCATTCTTTGAAAGCTGTCTTAAAGAACAATTTAAAGTCATTTTAGGTCATTATTTAACAAGTCCAAGTCAAAGTCAGTCCATTAGGTCAAATAATAAATGAGAGCCGTTGATTTAAATTATTTTTATATAAAAACTTTTTTTTCCTGTGAACCCTCATTGGACGGCTGATAACGCGTCTACCGTAAGGTTAACGCCTCGTTACGTTTGAACTATTCTTTATCAAAGGCCAACATAATGAACAATTTTATATATATTTAAAGAGAAAATGCTAGTACTAAATTACATATTTTTTATTTACATTATGTTTTTTCTTCATTTCTATTTTTCAGCTTCTACACCCACTATTAGGGTTTCATATATATAAATATGTAAATATATATAATTAAAATAATTAGACTTAATAACAAATTTTCTTTTATTTTAATAAGTTTGTAATTAAAATAATTATATATAATTAAAAAAATATGAATTATAACAATTAATTATAAATTAATTGATTCTTACTTTCAATGACAAAAATTCAATCTCATATAATCTCAAACATAATATATATATATATTAGGCTTACTGACACATTTTCTTTTATTGTAATAATAACACACTTTAAAAATAACATGTTTGTTCCCCTTCTTAACGGAGTATAAAGAAGGAAAATCGTCAGTCTCTCTCCCATTAAAACCCGACCCCCCATTAAAAACCCATTAAAAAAACCAACTCTTCCCTCGTTTTCTCTGGTCTTCCGAAACTCTCTCGCCAACCAAACATTTTTCTCCTAAATCTTTGCCGTATCCATTAGAAACTAACCCTTTTTTTTTTTTTTGGCTAAAAACCATTGCATGAACTTAAACACCGTTTGTAAAAAAAAGGAAATGAAAAAACTAGCGAGCATTAAGAAGAGAAGTAGTAGTTTTTGCATGTGTTTTGATTCAGTTGTTTTTGAAAACGGTTTGGTGGTTGGAGAAGAAGGAGAGCCGCCGTCGGAGGAGGAAGTTAAACCGGTTCTTTCTCCGATGGCGAACATGATGAGTCCGGACGACAAAGACAATGATGTTATGGGCTCTTGTGGTCGGAAAAACAAACATGGTCGTCGCAGTTTCTCCCGCTATGTCAAAGCCCTCTTCTTTGAAACTTCCCTGGTTAGTTATTTCCTTTTTTTTTCCCCCTTTTCTATGTCATTGTTTTTTTAATTAAGAATAATATATTTTTTCTCTTTTATTTCTTTTTGTTATTTTGATAATCAATACTAAAATAAAAAGATATTTAAACAAATTTTTACTTCAAGCTTATATTACTTAAAAACCATGCATTTAAATTTATTTTAGTCGTTCAGGATTGGCTTAGCTATTGTTATTCTTTATTGAAGTATTAATTAAGTCCAAAACTCTAACTTTCAAACCTTTTTTTTCTTGATTTTCCTTCATATAAACAAAATTTTTTTTTACAGTTATTTGTGATACTATATATATATATATGACAATGGAAATAGATACCGTGTTATGTTGGCTTAAGTGGTATGAAAATTTGTTTTTCTCTTGATTGCTTTGAGTTTGAATTTGTTGAAAAATATTTTTAATAAAAAATTTTACGAAATATGAAATTTCGTGTAAATCTTTTCATGTCTAATCATTTCTGGTTCTTGGAAATTCAACATGTGCTTCACTTATTCCAAAATCATAGTCAAATTTTTTACTTTTCTTTTTTTTAAATAATTTTTTTTTAAGTCGATAATGGTCGAATAGATTTTTAATTGTTTCATTAGTTAATTTTTCAATTAACTTCATGAATATGAAACTGATTATTGGTCTATACTATTTTCCAATTGACAGATGAAGAAAATGCGAAGCAAAAAATTGGGACAAAAGCTCAACCGGAATTACACCAATTTAAAATATTCCAAACCCATATCAAAATCAACAAATGACAGTCCATCAATGAATGAGGATAATCACTCAAAAAGAAGTACTTCTAGTTCTACATTTTCACCTTGTTTATGTACAACTTCTACGATGAATTCAACATCAACAACAGCAACAACATCAAGGTGTTCATCCTCATCAGTTTCTTCGAATTCAAGGCTTTCATTATCCGAAACTATGGAAAACAATAAGCAAGGAAAGGTTGGAAATGGCAATGGCTTTAATGTTGGTATATGTTTGTTTCTTATTAGCCTATGGGTTTTGGTCATTTGGGGTAAGGTTTGTGCCATTTTTTGTACTTCAACCTGGCTCTTCTTCGCATGTCGATGGAGTAAATTTAAACCTGTTCCATCAGAAATTATTGCAGTTGATCATCATTTTCCTGAGATTGATACAGAGCTTCACAAGAAGAAGGTTATCATGGAAGGATTACTAGAAAGGAATCATACTCAAAAATCGAAATCCTTTCCCCTACTGAAACTATGATACATAAGCCAGAGCAGAAGTATCAGATTCCATTTTTTTTGCTTATAAAATCAGGGATGTCTCCAAATTTTTCAATACATTTTGCAGTTTTGTCTATCTGAAGAGATTTTTGATTTGTATTGTATACTTATCAGACAAATCAGGCATTGGAGCAATTTTTTCAATATGTTCTTCATATCACAAGAAAATGGCAATTGTACAAATATCTATACAATTTTATAATTTAAGCACAGCTCGATAGCATTATTTACCAGATTCTGGCATGTATTGATATCTTGGTTTACAAAAGCTGTTAACATTTAGTTGCTTTGATCATAAAAAGAGTTATCAAACAAGTTTTTAAAGCTCTTTGATAACTTCTATCTCTGATTGGACTAACTTGCTCTGATATATGATTGGGGATAAACAATCTATTTTTGGTTATTTACTTGATGGGAATTGAGATTGATAAATATACGGCTAGTAAAAATCCAAAATTTGATGAAAGAAGCCTGAACCTAACTTTACTTTTGATGGATGATTTACAACAACCAAAGATATTTTCTTTTTTTATATGAAAAGGATCGTAACCTGAGAATAAAGAAAAAAATTACAAGTGCTAGAATTTAAAATTGAAATATGATGGATAAAAGAAAAAATTTTGGGAGCTTTTTTTTTTTTTTGAGATTTTAGCCCCCCCTTTGTTCTGTTCGTAACCTTATAATTAGGCAAAATCTAACTTATAATAATAAGCTATTATTTTAATCTAATACATAATGTTGTGGAAACAACCCTTTATTTTGCTGGTAGTAAGCATAAAGGAATCTATGCTTATGCAATTGCTATTTAAGGGCTTATTTACAAAAGACTCTCCTTTATAAAAAAAAATAATTGTAAGAATAAAATTATTAATTCTCTTAAATTTTAATTATATCATAATCTCATTTTTAATCGTAAACATCGAGTTTTCTGATCGAATCGAATTCGGTACGATAATAAATCAACTAAGTTCGGCTCTATTACACCTAGAATTTTAAATTTTGCAAGTAAATAAGTGAAAGGGTGAAAATTTGTTACCATTTTTATCTTCAGCTTAAGAGAGCAAAAGCAAGAAAAAACAAAACAGTTGGGTAACATATTTCCTTCCAAATTGATTCTTGCAGTGAAACAAAAGCAGGAGCAATTGTTTGTTCCTGATGTCGGGTGATCAGGTTCCACGGTTTGACAATAGAATAGCGATTTCTCTGAGAAAAGCATATGGTAAAAATGCATAAGGAATATGCTTTCTTAGATTAAAAAAAAAAAAAAAAAACTACAGAATCTGCTTTGAAATTGAGCCGCAACATCCTCTTTTCATACTACCGAACCCCAAATTCAAGGAATTGACATTAAAGCATTAATACACTAAACTAACAATTAGATGTTAACTTTTGAGCTGATCCAATGCTAATCACAAACCTGTCGCATAATTAAAAATTAATTTTACATCCGAGCATTTAATTCAATGGTAAGTGCATGATTTTTTATGCTTAAATCTCTCATTTCGCGAAAATAACATGTGAAATATACAAATCAATATAGGAAAGAATAATTGAAATTTCAAATTAGAAGTAAATAATTATACAAAACTAAAAGAAAATGAACAAAATAGCAAAGAAAAAAAGTGGGCAGAAATTTAATATAGCCCAAAAACATGTTACAGACACCACCTACTTTCCATGTCTTTGTTTTACAGTACTGTTTTTTTTTCATATATGCAGTACTACCAAATACAAACACAACTAACAGCTGAAAGTGACAGCCTTTTAAATTTCCCATCCATCAGTTTACACCAAAATGTATATAAATGCTAGAGAAACCCAAATATTTCATCCCCCAGACTTTTTGTCCCTCTTTTGGATGGTTCAGATTAACCCATCCCAATGCTCTGAACCAACCTGTTGAGAGATCCTGTCCCTCCATAAAATCTTAAATAACCAAAGACAAAGGTACTATCTATGTTGGGAAACTAGTAATAAAAAAGTTGGAAAAGGGTAAACATAGAGAGAAAGAAAACAGGCTGAAAGCAAAATCTCAGTTCAGATTGAGATCAGAGTAATTATTGTATATATATTTACCCTTTTTTTTTAAACTTGAAAGAGTAATATGTTTCACAAGTTGCATAAAGCCAGGACCAACAGTTACTCTAACCTTTGGTTCCTTATAGCAATCTTCAAGATGTATACCTTTGGGGATGTAACCAAATGGTTACCTACTCTCTCATTTATCACAAATCTCTTTTGAGATTATTACACAAATTTCATTTTATTTTAAAAGCAATACCTCTAATTTAAAAGTTTCATTAGCAATGATTACGAGAATGATAATAATGATATAGTATTGTAGTATTGTTTATGCGTGATTGATTTTCTACCATGGGACATTGGCATACTAGATCATGATTGTGATCATGATATGTTTCAAAGTGTTTTGGTATATAGAGTCATAGTTTGATTTTGGAAAAGAAGCTGCCAAAAAAAGAGGGAAGAAGAAGTAAAGAGAAAAGAACCCAAAATGGAGACCAGGAATCCTTTTACCAAACACCATGATTATATATATATGGATGAAAAAGATATTGATATCCGAACAACTCTATCTATATCTTTGTGTTTGACCCTGAGTCGTGATAATGGCAACTTTTTTAATCACATTCCATTAGCAATGACTCTGGTATGCTTTTTCTAAATTATGCTTTAAATACATTGTGCATATAGATAACTCTCTTTGTGTATCTGTTTTGAAAGGTTTTTTGAAAGGTTAACCAATGAAATGTAACTTTTTTCTATCTCATCAAATCTTATTCTTTCGTTCTTGAAATTAAATTTAAAAACATTCTTGTTTTATCTGATTATCTCCAATATATGATGCTTTTGATTATAATATCAAACCTTTTATAATTTGAAAATTATCATATCATTCACTCGTTGTGTTTGGATGGATAGTGTGGTGCAATGAGAACAACTTGGATCAAATTGAATTTGATTTGATTTTTTTATAATACATAATAATATTATGAATTTTTAAAATTCAATTCGAATCCGAACAAACCTTTTTTTTTAAATCAATCTAATCTAAATTAAATTTTATCAATTTGATACAATTCATCGATTTTTAAATTTTATTCTATTTATATATTATTTAAATAAAATTTTAATATATTTAAATAAAAATTTATATTTTTATTTTATAATAATTTAAGATATATACAAAAATTAATAAAAATATATAATTCGATTTAATTTATTTTTTTCAATTTTTTATATCTTAAGTCGAAATTCGATCGAAACTTAATATATACATTCTTGACTTTGATCCAAATAAAAAAAAAAAATCCTATCTAAATCAAATCAAATATTACTATTTTAAATTGATTTTTAATTTTTTCGATTCTTTTCTCTCTGAGCTCACATTGTGGATAGATTATAAGGCTCTAATGCTAATTAATTAGGGAAAACAATAAATATTGTTTATAGTTTATTAAGTGCTAAAGAGGCAAATCTGTTATATGGTCCCCATTCTCATGCAAAAACGAGTCCCATGGTTAGGGTCCTAGTCTGTAATATATCTATATAAAAAACTACGCCATTAGGTCACTTAAACACATATTGCCCAAATCCCCAATTATTCCATGCAGAGCACAATCTGCTTCCCAAATCCCAAGAATACTTCCATGTCTGCCCAAACCCAGCAAACCCTTTTCTTTGTTTAAACCCCAATACAGATTAAAAAAAATCAAAAAGCAAACCTTTCAGGCTTTCACAGATGTTACCACCACCTTCACACGTGCCAAGTCTCTCCCTCCAACCCCCATCAGCCAATAGCCACATCACCAGGTGGGCCCCACTTGCTACGTGTCATTGATAGGGACCACCAACCAATGCCCTTTTTTGGAGATTCTTCTTTACCTACATATAAAATCTTCATCACACTATATATGCGTGGCCTAAGATCCAGAGTACTAGATCAAGGCTTACAAAAGGAAAAAGGAAGGGAGGGAAGGTGGGGCCAATTACTTACGTGGCAGGTCATTATTGGTCAGGATTGTCACTGTCTTGAGGACGGCGGGTCCGTACTATTTCAGATTTTTCTTGCATTGCATGCAATTGTGAAGGGGATGGATTACTGAGATCTTCAACCAGAATCATATCAGAAAAAACACATCTTTGGTTAGTCACGCGGTTTTGATTGGTTTTTCCATTCACTCGTTTTAAGCTTTCTTCTTTTTTATTTTGTTTATTTACCTCTAGCTCAAATCCGAGAAGAAAGGCCTTCATGTGATTGGATGCTAAGAAAATTTTGTTTTGATCATTTTTGCTTTGTAACAAAACTCCAAGAAAATTTTTTGCCATGATTTCAAGTGGTGAAGGAGAATGTCTAACACACACATATATACATGGAATAATAACATTTGATTATAAATGTTACCATTTTTGGATGAATATATAGTTTGAAGATTTGAATATAACACATGGGAAAGCAAAGAGAAATTAACTTGAACATGTTAGGTAAAAATTAATTATTCTTGCATATCAAAAGAAGAAATGCTTTGGAAACAAGAAAGAGATTGATCATTTAGTTCATCACTAAATATAGGAATATATGTATAATATATAACTATAATATGTCATGTGCTTATAGATATTTGTTATTATAAAAAAAAAAAAGTTGTCAATTTTGCTAGATTTTTGGACATTGATTATTGTTCCTACAATCTAACAAATGTAGATAACATCAATTAATATGTAATAAACCCAAGTAAGAGACATGCAATATGATCTAGAGTAAAATTAATTACATAAATAATTAAAACATTAATGACAGATCCTAATCCAATATATTTTGTTAAAACAGCAAGTTGGGCATACCAGAAACTATCACATGGAGTCAGCTTTTTTTGAGGTTTTATTGCCAAATATGAAAGAAGGACCATCTTTGCAAACCTAGCCACAACAAGATAAGATGGTGATTTTGGAAGTGGATAAAACAAGATTGGAGATAACAATTTGAGAATTGATTAAAAAATAAGACACAAAAACAAAGGAAAAGAAAAGTACCAGACAAAACCATGTACCTTTTAGCATTTCACAGGGGTTGTTTTGTTTTGGTCTCTTTTTTTTTTTTTTTTTTTTTTAAATAGTTTTCTCAAAACTTTATTTTGAATAGCATTAAATTAAATTTCTATCTTGTAAAAAAAAAAAAAATGAAAATCCATATCTTTCAAAACCATCTGTCTATAAAATCCTCATTCTTTTGATCACCAAGCAAAAGCCAAAGACAAAAAAAGAACTCTCCTTTGTCTCTCTTTCTCTTTCTGTTTGATTCAAGCCAAAAACATCAGACCCCTTTTTTTTTAATGTCTACATCACTTACACTCTTGACTCCGAATACTAATAACACAACAGCAGAAGCCATGGAAGCTAAAGCAAAACCAGCTATGGAGTTTGTGAAGAGTAACAAAGGGAGGAAACCAAATGGGAGAGGTCCATACCAAAAGAAACAGCCACAAAGAGGTATGGGAGTGGCTCAACTTGAACGTTTAAGGAAAATGACTGAAACAAGAACCCCAACAACAACAACCCAGTTTCCTTCTGAACCTATTGGGAATACTAGTAATGTTCCTGTACTTCATGGTGTAGCAAACTATGGTGTTCCCATGATGATGAATGGTGGAGGAAGTGGGGGGTTATGGGGTTGGGGTACTGACACAGCTGGCTTTGTGATGCAAAGGATTGTTGGAATCGGAGGGTTTGGTGGTTTGAATGGTCAGGTTTTGGTTGGATCAGCTCCCGGTAACGTTCAGGTTGGTTGTGGTGGTGCTGGTGTTGCGGAGGCTTCTAAATGGAAATCTTCAACGCCAAAGTTGCAGCATAGTAAACCTGATCGTTGTGACGTTTGCTTTAAGGTCTTGTTCTTTTTTTTTTTTTTTTTCTGTTAGTTTTTCTTAACTTGCAAAGTTTTGTGCTTTTGGTTTTTGTTTGTTTAAAGTCTCGTGTTGTTTTGTTTTTGTTAAAAAAAATGTAGGAAATTTGAGTAGGAAAATAATATTTTGAAGATTGAACAAGGTGGTATTGTTGATTCTGAACTTTAGTCTTTAATTTGATTCCGGAGAAAATATGGGAAAAAAGAAAGACATTTGAATCTTATGTAAGCCATAGAAAGTTATGTCTTAAGTTGGATTAAGGGTCTCTTGGCTCCTTTTCTTTGGCTTGCTAAAAAATGTGGTAGCAGTAAAATAAAAGCAACAATTAGGAGTCATTAGTTTTATGTTTCCTGGGATTCCATATAGAAATCACTCAAATAAACCCAAAAGGCTAAACAAGTACAAGTCAGTATTTGTCTCGGCCTCTATTGAGTAATTAATTCTTTTTGTTCTTTCATGTTTCAAGTGATTAACTTATCTATTACTTAATAACTATCTTACTGACTTTTCCATATTGCAGAAGAAGCGTCGCAATGGGGAGAATGCGAAGTTTAATAGAGGGTTCAACCAATTTGGACAAGTTTTGCCCATCAAAAGAGCTGATTTTCTTGGATACAACCTGGGAAACACTCAAAACATCAATGAGGAGATGATCAATGGATTCAGTACTAGAGCTGCAAGCAGTGCTTCTACTTATGCAGGCCAAATGAACAATATCAATGAGGTGACAATCAAATTGTCTCAACACCTTTCTTCTTTTCCCTAAGGAATGGAGAGAATGTATATATAAACTTTGTTTGCTTATGATTATTATATATGTAAAGTACTTCAAATTTGATTGTTGATGTATTCTTCCGTTATTGTTTTAAATGTGGGGGGTTTTTGCAGACTGTGGATGCGGTGGCAATTCACAGGAAGGGAAAGTCAATTGGCACTGGAAGTTTTCTCATGGAGTATGAATTTTTCCCAGGGGAAAGTAGCAGAAGCACTTCTTCCAAGAAATGGGAATTGCCAGCAGAAGCTTCAGTTGCAATGGGAGGTGAAGCTTCTTATGCTGATGCTTCTAATTGTGTTGATTTGTCCCTCAAGCTTTCATATTAGAAGCATACAGGAAATTGTCTGTTTTTGGCTTTGTTGGTTTACTGTTACATTGATTTGGGTGTAATTAATGTGTTTGAAACCAAATCCCAAACACAGCTTTAAAATTTCTCTTTTATTGTTAAACTACTTATATCTCTTACTAAATTACTGCAACATATATTGCGCTTTCTGGGAAATTCTCCTCTCTCTCTCTCTCTGATTTTGTCAGTGGTTTAATTCTCTCAGCTTTAATGATCTTGCCATTATTTCTTATATAATCTATCTTTTCCTAGCGAATCTCTTGTGGCCCTATTTGATGCTGCCTATTCAGGTTTTTTGAAGTTTGCAGATATCCCACATATTTCTTATGATTAAAAACATTTTATCTTGATAGATATCACAACAAGCAGTGAAGTAATTAGGACTAACCAAGTTATAATTAGCAAGCAGGTATTTATGTTAAAGTTCCTTGTGTGGAGATAAACTTGCCGCGCCTGGAACATATGCAAAAGAAAATCATATACATTGGCTAAAAAGAGGGCTGCCATTGCCATGGGAGTTATGTAGAATATTTGTAGACTGGTGTTGTGTTTGCATAGAAGTACACCAAAACTGTTCAAATTTGATCAGTTATGAACCTTTCTTTGTGTTTGAAATTAACTGCAAAATCACTATTCATTTCGCATGACCTGTCATGCATGAGAGGTCTGCATTTTTGTTCTAACAGCTCCATTTCCAAGCTTCATTTTTTTGCACCTGAGATTCTGATATCACTCTCAGATATATTGTACTTCAACTTTGATAAAGAAAAAAAAAAAAACTGGGTTTCCTTGCCTTAAGATTATATACTAGGCAAAGAAAAATAATTTAATTATTAACCTGCAAACAGGCAGGACAGAAATGGCTCAAAGCCCTAGCAACTGTCTCCATCAGTCTTTTTTATATTTATTTTATTTTGGCTGGAAAATTTCATAAAAAAGAGTAGATGGAGTTTCTTTTCTAGAGTGAGTTTACACCTTTTATGTCCTGAAACACAGGAGGGTATGTTTAGCTTTCCGTTTATGGGAGTCAACTAAGTGAACCTGTCAGGGATTGCTTTTAGAAAACAGTAATACAAAGAGTAGAAATAAAAAAAAAATCTCGGTTTACGGGAAAATAAGCCTCTTAAGCAAGAAATCTTTCTTCTGGAGAGTAGAAAGTGGCTTCTACTGATATAACTGATGAGTGCCAAAAAAAAAAAATGCCAAAGGCCTAAATCACAAAAAAAACTCAAGGAGGGAGGTAAATAATTTGACGAATTATTCATAAATATATTCTTTTTTATTTATTTATTAAACTTAATAAATAATATTAAATAATATTTTTATATTTATTTATTAAATGAATCGAATATGAATAAAGATTTATTTAGTTCGTTACATTTATGGATAAATTTATTTTAAATATATTTTAAATTTATTAATTTATTATTCATTTATAATAATAATAATAATAATAATAAATTTATATTTTTATCATTTACTTTAATTTTATTTTATGGTTCATTTATATTCGTTTTAGGTTCTTTTATATTCATCTAGGATTTATTTGTTTAAATTTATTTAATTATATTTAATTTATTATTTAAAACATATTTATTTATATATATTTATAAATATATTCGTTTAATATTTTTAAATGAATTTATTTAATAAAATCGAACCGAACGCAAATTGAATATAAATATTTTGTCATTAAATGAATTAAATTTGAACAAACAAAATCAATTTTTTATCAAATCAAATCAAATTCAAATATTTTTAAAAATAAATGAATAAACCACATACATATATTCATTTATTTATGTTTAATTTATTTTCAATTATAGAAATTCAAATTTTGGTGAACAAGTTAAAGGTGTAGAAAATAAATATGGATGCAGGTGGTGGGAGACTGATGGTCTGGGATTGTCTGATCTGTAGTAGTAAGGCTGAGTGTGGAAGCTTTTTCCCTTGTTTGTCATTCCTTTGGCAGTTTGGCTATAAGTTCGTTTTGATTGGTTGGTCAGTGTCAGTGATCAACGATCATCATGTCTTATTCGTTCCTCAGCTTTTCCTTTCTCTTCCTCTTTATTGTTACTTGAAGCTCAGTGATCAATGATCATCATGTGATCAATGATCATGTTTTCAGTATCGATAGATAAATAAGAATATAATCGATCGAATTCAAATTAATATGATATTAAATTTGAGTTTAAGTTCGATTTAAAATTTAAAATTTAAAATTTAAAATTCAATTCGAATTCAATTGAGTTTTATTTTTTTAATTCGAGTGATAAAAATAGAACTACTCAAGTTCATTTGATTAAGTTTAATCAATATGTAAAAATAAGTTCAATTTTTATATTCGATAAAATTTTGATTATTTGTACTTGAACTCGAGCTTAAATTTGAGATATTTTATTAATTAAAATAATAAAAAATATATTTAAATATAAAAAAAAAACTTGATTAGACTCACGAACTACTTGAACTAAATATAAAAATATTTGAACTCGACTCGATCAATGGAACTATTCGAATTTAAACTCAATTTGATAATAATTAAACTAAACTCGAATTTTATTTAAATCAAATTCAAATAATTTATGAGTATTAATATATCATTTATACTCTTACTACTCTATATATTAGACCATATAAATTATAGCAAGCCAATGGTGTGAGATTTCTAATCTTAGACAACTAAAGTGAAGAGAAAATAGAAATGGAAATTAAAATAAAAAAAGAAAAGGTCAACTGGCCAGGAAAACGTTGCAACCGTGAACGGCAGGATTCGAACCTGCGCGGGCAGAGCCCACATGATTTCTAGTCATGCCCGATAACCACTCCGGCACGTCCACAAGCTTTGAGGTAAAGAATCAACGTTATTTTGTATTTCTATCAAGTATTGTTTGATCTCAAACTGTTCATTTGAGAGAGCTTGGGCTGCTCTAAACCAAGTTCACTCAACTGCAAAACCCAAACCCAAATTCCTACAGGAAAAATGTTCCAAATTCCCTTGGAACTTGGAAGAACTCTTTTCACTTTGTCTGGTCTTTTTGGCCCCACTTCCCAAACTCAATTTCTTCCCCGTTTCTTCCAATTCTATCAACAACCGGAACCCCAAAACCAACGTCTAAACCAAACTCTGGAACCGTCTCATAAACTCTGAAAGCTCTCTCATTTTCTTATTGGAAAAAACCCAAAAAAGGAAAGAAAATAAAAAAAAAGGTTAGCCCAAAAGAAAAGGAAAGAAAATGAATCCTACAGATAACAGTGACCACCCTCAACTTCCAACAATCAAGATACGCCACCCATCCTCCCCTCACCACCCAACCTCCGGCGCTACCCCCACCGCCGACGCCCGCCGCAAGATTGGCGTAGCAGTCGACCTCTCCGATGAGTCTGCTTTTGCCGTTTGCTGGGCCGTCCAAAATTACCTCCGACCTGGAGATGCTGTCATCCTTCTCCACGTGTCACCCACATCCGTACTCTTCGGAGCCGACTGGGGCCCACTCCCTCACACCCCGCAAAACCCTGAAACCCCACAGTCCCAAAAGCAACTGGAAGACGATTTTGATGCCTTCACGGCTTCAAAGGCGGCTGATTTGGCCAAACCCTTGAAGGAAGCTGGGATTCCCTTTAAGATTCATATAGTGAAAGATCATGATATGAGGGAAAGATTGTGTCTTGAGGTTGAGAGGTTAGGGTTGAGTGCTGTTATAATGGGGAGTAGAGGGTTTGGAGCTGAGAAAAGAGGGAGTGACGGGAGGTTGGGAAGTGTTAGTGATTATTGTGTGCATCACTGTGTTTGTCCTGTTGTTGTTGTTAGGTATCCTGAAGATAAAGATGGCGGGAATGGCGAGCCCGTCGTGACGGTTAAGGAGGCTGAGGTGGAGGAGGAAGGTGGCAAAGGTAAATTCTTTTTGGGGTTTTATTTTTGGTTGTTTCATTTTGATTGGAAATTTGGGATCTTTATACTTGTTTCAATACTTAATCTGGATGGTTTGAGCAGTTCTTTGTATTGCTTATGTGTTTTTATAGTAAGAATTGATAAATAGTATATAGTAGCAAAGTCGTCTCTAATGATCCATAAAGCGGATGCCACATAGTAACCTAGTCTGTTTTGGTTTGAATAACTGAAATTTTGGCCTCTTAGCAGTGTCTTGATTTTTACTTGGGATGATCTTAGTGTTTTTATAGGATGATGATTGGGAACAACAGTATAATGCGATCCATATGGGTGACCACATGTTGTGGGAAAGGGCTTAGTTTGTTGTTGTTATGGCTGATACAATATTTAAGTCAGTAAAGGTTGGTCATTTGCTTGGTATCAGTTTTGGCATAATATGATCTATGTAGATGACCATGCATTGGGAAAAGGTTTAGTTTGTTTTGGTTTTTAGTGATTCAAATTTTAGTTTCTTGGCATTTTTTTTCTCATTTACCTTGGATGGTTTCAGCAGTTTTTGTTACATTAGCTGATAAATAGGGCATGGTATTGGTGTTATAATATGATTGATATAGCTCATCCCATATGGTGCAAAAAGGTTTAGTTTCGTGTTGTTCTTATAGCTCTATAAAATGTTTAGTTTACTTTATAGTATTAGACTTTTAGTAATAGGAGGATTTGTTGAGTGGATAGGATTAGTTTTGTCTCCTCGAATATTGTTGCAGATTGTAAGTTAATTGAAATGAAGATATGTGATGGACAAAAGAACTAATGAGTCAATAAGGACAGCATGTGGAGTGTGGTGTGCTTGGTTGTATAAACTGATCATACATGTCACTGCTAACTTGGTATAATAACAAGTAAGCTGTGCATAAATATAATAAAGAAATGTGATAGCAATTGTTACAATGTTTATCAAGTAACTAAGTATCTGTAAATGCTGGATAAGAATAGTAATCCCTTCCTTGAGCTTTGTTATAGATGTTATGTTGTTGTATTGGGAGCTAATTGAAATGCAGACAAGTGATCTACAAGGGAAATGATGATTTAATAAGGAGGATGACATGTAGTAGTGGGGTGTGCTTGATGTTGGAACTTATAATAGAGGTCGCTGCTAGATTGTTAGTATGATTGGAGAGCATTGCATAAATGTGATAAAGATGTGTGGATAGCAATTGCTACTGTTTTTTGACCTGTTAAATATGTGCAAATGCAAGTTTGAATATGTGATGTAAAGTTACTAGATGCTGCATAAATTAGGAACTTTTAGCCTCATGGTTTCAGTATGTGATTCCATCATGAGAAACGATCAAATTGTATCAGAAGCTGTTTGTATGGGAACGCAAATAGTTTCATAAATCATAGGTACTTTAACTGGGAGAATCTGGGGAGATAAATTGATTCAGTGTGCTTTTTTCTGTGGACTCTTCTAAAGCATCCCCCCTGCCCCCACCACAAGGGAGAAAAAAACAATATTCTGGGAAACTTTGAGAAAGAGAATGTGCCATTAGCTGTTTGTTAGAATATGCTTCTGTTTTTCTATACGCTGCTTCCAAATATACCTATTAGGTAGTTTCTTCTGCTGAAGTTGGTAAGTTGTGGAAATATTTTGATTAATCTGATTTGGAAAGTTGATTGGGACTAAAAAAAAAAAACTATTAGATGCCAAAAGATGTGCCAAACTTAGAAGGCTCTTGCATTTTGGAGGAAGTTGTTTATATACCAATTGATCACGCACATTTCCTCCCTCAGTCTCTTTGTTTATTTGGGCTATTGCTTGTGAAACACAGTGGAGCAACCTATGGAATAAGAAGACCTGCAAAGAAAATGATCTGTCTGTATGGTTTCCTGACGGAAGCATCTTGAATTACTAAACATGAGCTTGCCTGTTATGAAATCCATAGCATGTTGTAGTGCAATGCTTCCTGAGTTTCTTTCATGGACTTTGGTTTATATATGAAATTTGTGTGAGTTGCTGAATTATTGAACTTACCACCTATTCTTGTAAATTAACATAGTGTTTGATACTTCTTTCATTGCAGATGCTTAGCAAGTCCCTGGTAATTGCAGCTTTATCCCATCAGTAGCAGGTTATTGATGTTAGAAATATCTTAATTAATAAGTTATATTTGTTATTCTTTTGTCGGTGCCTGTTCTAAATCTGATTTTTTTCATCCTGCTTATCTTGTGTTGTAGATAGCATAGAAGGCTCTGAGTCGCTATGGATTACCTGGCACAAAGAGAAATCAACAGTTTGGCTGCTGATGGAACTTGGTTAAAATGAGTCCTAGGATTTTCTCTTTCCACTTTCATCTCCTCTTTATCTAACTCTATCGATGATGTTATTGTATGGTTGATGAGGTTCTTGATTTCATTTTATGACACTCTAGGAGGTGATGTTTTACTGCAATGTGATATACTCTAAGATAATCCTGGTGTCACCATTTGCTTTCGGTTTTATGAGCTGTTGGCAGAAGTATGAAAAATATTCCAAGAGCTTCCCCTTAAATTCAAGGGCTCTTTGTTGTAGAAATCTGGTTTTTTACTACTTTGTTCATTGCTGAATATAAAATTTAAGTGAAGCTCTGTTGTTGTTCTCATGTAATGGTGGTCTAGTTGGAAAAACACACGCAACTGCAGATGCATGTTGTAAAAGCTAAGTTACATGTCAACCTCATATTCCTGGAATCAAAGTTAGAATCAGATGGAAATTCCATGAAAAAAAGGGGGAAATAAATCCTCTAATTCCCTCAATCAAGGCAGGAAAAGAAACCACTTGGAATTTTACCCAATCAGTTGCTTTTTAAAAGTGATTCCAGGGTCATAGATGAGCAATTCAATCAAGTTTTGTCTCCCGTGATGCCTGAATGATTGAAGTTGACCTGCACAAGAAGGTGAAGATAAATTTTTTTTTTCTTGACAGTTACACAGTCCTAGTAAACTTGAAACTTCAGTTTCAGTTTCCAATTCAAATTTTAAAGAAGAAATGATGAGAAAGAGATATAAAAAATGGGAAAAACATTATTTTTGACAATTCAATATGTAAACATTTTTCACAAATATAAAAAAAAATTGTCAAAAATTATGTGCTATATGTTGATAGGATATAAAACTTTTAATTTTGTTGATCTGTATTCAATCTTATAACTCCAATTATAAAAAGAAAAAAAAAAAAAAACAAATTCTACTCAAATCCATTTCAAGTTTCAACTGAGTTATTATTTAAGAAATGCTTGTTCAAGTAGACAGATAAGAGAAAGAAAAGAAATTCAAGAGATGCTTATCTTTAGCATTACATAATGATTATTATAAGGCTAAATGACTCACTTAGTTGAAACCAAACTTTTTTTAGTCAAAACCTTTTGCTTTTTCTAAAATTCAACTTGATGTGATGTCTAAATAACATATTATAACTTTGATAATTAAAAGAATTATAACTTTGATAATTAGATAAGTAAATAACACAGAAGGACAAAATAATCCCCCTCTACCAAATAAAAGGGTAAAAAAATTGGATAAAAGAACTCAAAATTATCTTCCAAAAAAACCCCTCATGTGGACAAGGAAAAACCCTTACCATATGCCATATCTACATTAGTCAAGTTAATCCACATGGACTTGTGCAAGTTGGTTTCTTTTATATATCTTCAAATTGTTACATGCTTTGTTTTTAATCCTTCATACATTTTTCATTCCTAGCTAATGTTCAAAGCCCCTTTCTCCCTTAGGTTAGTCACCTAACTTTACTTTAATTATAAAAATTTATAAAGTATTGGGGATCAAAAATTATAATCATATTTAATTCAATGCACAAAAGGCTACATCTATGCTAGTGATGATCATTTTGCCATCTATTTTGAAAGTAAATGTGGCAGAAACAAAGCATCTCCCTGTCTCCATTTTGATATGAAAGGTCATAAAATACCAATGTGTTAAATATTTTTAACAATAAATTTGAAAATAAAAAAGAAATTATGAATATTACAATTTAAAAAAATTATTTAATGCATTAATAGTAAAATATTTTAGACTTCATAAACAAAATTTAATAAAGTAACACATTTTTTAAGATATATTAAAAATAAAAAATAATATATATGTTAGTTTTTTTAACTTTTTTATGAAATTAAAAAATTTTATTGATAGTACTCAAAATTAAATATCAAACTTTGTGCCTTGTTTTTGGACATCATGCGATTATACATGAATTCAAAAACACAGTATTACAAAAAAAATGTAAGAAATATTACAATATTAAATATATAATCATGACATAAGGAAAAAAAAAAAAAGCAACAAATTCCACAATGAAGAGAAAGGAACCAAACAAAGAAAAGACAATAATTATAAAAAATACAATAATCATTTTTATGTCAAGAAAATTGAAATATTTCCAAAACAGAAAAAATAAAAACTACCTCGAGGGATTGTATTGTGTAAGTTAGGATTGTTAATGGGAAGTGAAATCTAACGGCTCTGATCTCTGCTCAACCTGCAGATCCCGATGGTTGTAGCTGATGCATCACCGGTATTGGTGATCATGTGCTTTTGAAGTCTTTTTAAAGAGCTAATAGTAGCCGTTGATCTTGACTCCGATTCACCATGTGCTTGATTTCTAGTTGATTGATTATCTTCACATAATCTTGGTTGCTTCAATAATCTTGATGAGCCCATAGATGTTGCTTCTCCATTGGATGATCCACCTGAGCCCACGTGAGATGAGGAGCACCCAATGTCATCCTGGATTTGTAACAAAAATGAAAAAGGAGATTTCACCCTGTCAAATACCCTGTTTGGTTCCTTAGAAAATGCATGACCAAAAATCAAAACAAAAAGAAAATTTAAATTTTTACTGATAAACTCAGAAACCCAGATTCTAAATTAAACAAATTGTTCAATATGTTGTTTGGATTATTAGAAATTAAGGAAAAAGAAAACCAAATAGTCAACAAGTCTCTGTTGATATTCTAAGAACAGGGGATTCTGTTCAAGACAAAGATTCTGAAGAAATTTCTATTCCTTGATAAATAAAGAAAATTTTTTATTTACAAAATCATAACCAAGAATCTAAATTTGAATAAATTAGTAACATTTTCAGTTGAGGGATCAGAAAATTAAGGGAAAATAGCAATAAATAAAAAAATCTTTTTTTTTCAAAGCAGGAGATTCTATTTTCAACAAAATTTTAAAGCAGATTATATTGCTTTGATTGAAAGAAAATTTAAATAATTTTCTTCAATTTAAAAAGAAAAACCTTTAAATTAAGCTATTTTCAGATTCAAATATCTATCTTGAAAAGGTATAATTTATATATATATATATATATATAATAGATGGATAGATATAATAAAAGGCCAAAACAGATGTCTAGAAAACAGAGCAAAGAAAAAAGAAATCAACATACATCAGAGTAAAAGCTATGATTTTCTCTCATCCTCTTCAACCCAAAACCACCACCACCTTCAGTACTACTAAAAGAATCCAAGCTAGTCACCGGCTTCGACATCGAAAAAGAAGAAGAATCCCCTGATAATGGAACCACCTGATTTTCCCCATCTTCAACCTCCTCCTCCTCTTCTTCTTCTTCTTCTTCTTCTCTTCTTCTTCTTCTTCATCATCATCTTCATAATCTTCCTCTTCTTCTTCACACTCCGATGACTCGTCCTGCTGTGTAATCACGTCGAAGTTATTGTTGCTGTTCTTTTTGTTGTTGTTGCCAACGCATGACTCGCAAACAGTGACAGCAGGGGTGAGGTTGTGACCTGAAGCGAGCCAAGGAGTTGGGTTTTGGCAAACATGGCAGAGGAGGGTTCGGCTATGCTTTGCTACAAGGAAGTTGGCTCCATGAACCTGGACGTCGCAGTCCCAACATAGGTTTGCTTGATCTGATTCACACTGCATTCGAGCTAACCCTCCACATAGTTCACACTTCTTCATTCTCTTCTCTTCTCTTCTTTTTTCTTTTCTTTTCCTTTGCAGAGAAAGAGAAGGTCGTAGTATTTGATTAAATGAAATGAAAGCATTAAACCACGCACCCCTAATTTTTAGCAATTTAAAACGAGTAAAGGGCAGTTTTGTCATTTAATTTTTTAATATAAGGATGTAAATAATATGTTATGTTTGGATAAATATTAATAAAAAAAATTTCGTTTTTTTTTAAATATATGTAACTTTGAATAGTTAAATTAATAAAAAAAAATTTTTTTTAATAATTATTGGATAAAAAGTGAAAAAAAAAAGAAATGATTTATTATAATAATTTTTTTAATTATAATATTTTATTATATGTAATTTTAGAGTACTTTTAGATTATGATATGTTTACTATTTTATTTGATATCATAATTACTGTTGTATTAATAATTTTTAATTAAGTGAAACAAAAAGATATTTTACAAATATGTATTGATAGATTTTAAGTTAGTTCTTCATCTCATAAATTTAAAAAATATATTTATTCATATTCAATCATTTATTAAAATCAAATTACTAAAAAATTATAAAAAATTTTTATATTAGAAGAGATATGTAAAACTTACTTAAAAAAGACATGACTTTAACAAAATTATAGGATGATTATGATTTGTTTAAGTTTTTTTTATTAGGTTTTTAATATTAATAAAAAGATAGATATAATAATCTTTTTAAAAAATATATTTAAAAATTTTTTTTTTAGCTTTTTCTTTAAAGTAAGGTATTAAAAAAATTAAATTTATAAAAAAAAACTAAAAATTATTTGATTTTCACCTATTCTTCTTTCTTTAAATTAAAAATTTATTCAAACAAAGAAAAAAGAGTTTTGTTTCCTTTACATTCTTTTATTTATTTTCTTTCTTTTTCTTTCAATCCAAATACATTGTAAAACTATCAATAAGTCTTCAAATTTCATTCGAAAAATTTTAATCTTAATTTATTTATTATTGAATTAAACTTGAGCAAATTACTCAAATAATTAATTGAATACAATTTGAGTAGTTTAATATCTAATTAAAAAAACTCACAAAATTAATAAAAATTTTTAATATATTTAATACATATAAATAATGAATTAAATTAAATTTAAATAATTTAATACTCAATTTAAAATATTTATAAATTTAATTAAAATTTTATTTTTAATATATTTAATATTTATATAAAATAAATATATTATAATTTTATCGAATCTAATCAAATTTATTAAAATAAATTCAAAAGGTCAATTAATTTACGAGTTATACTATTTATTCACTTGGAAATTAATTGGTTGCCAGCTCATTAAAATTTTAATTTTGAGTCAACTCAATGAGGTGATGTGTACAGAAAAATATTATGCTGTCTTGACTAAGAGAGCGGTTGGTTGTATGCCACGTGGATAACTATGGTCGGTGGTCATTTATTCTTTAGTGGAAGATTTTTTAAAACTAAATTGGAGTGATAACGTGGCAGATTCGCCTAACCTATCCCACGTGGATTAATCAAGTCCATAACGAGGTAATGAGCCACGTGATCCCCACCTTTGGAAATTGATTCATTCCTTCTGACATGGCATTGTGGGACCCACCTTTACGTTTATCTATGCATTTATCACCTTATCTGTTGTCTCCCTCTTACCACATTTGCCTTCTATGCTAAGGTTTTAATTTTATAACCTAAAGTTTTATTCTTTTTTCAAAGTCGAATTTTATACATCATTGAAAATTTTTTTTAATTTTATAAGTAAAATTTTAAAAAATAATACATATGCCAATTGAATTGTAGCTCATATAGCATGTCATTAATTACATCTAGAAGGCCTTCAAGATTCGAGACATAATATCTTTCTTATAGGTAATTCAAGTATAGTGTAGTAAATGGAGTAAGGGGTTTTAAAATTAAATTAAAAAAATGATACATATATATTTTTTTTATAAATTTAATTGTGGCGTTCTAAAAGATTTGATGTATTAATGTTTGTATGATTGTACTTAAAATGGTTCGTGATTATTTTTTTAATTAATTTTTTAATAGATCATAAAAAGTAGATGTCATTACATTAATTTTATTTGTAAAATTTAAAAATTACATAAAATAATTTTTTAAAAGTATTTTATTGTAATTTGCACACTGGCACTGTTTTAATAATATTAACAAAATTTTATTAATATTGAAAAATAAAAGTGATATTTTTTTATAAAATATATAAAAAAAATTATAATTATAATCAAATATTATTTATATATATAAATAATTAAATAGTCAATTAATAAATTAAAATATAATTAAAAAATTTTGACATAAAATTAAATTAAATTCATATACAATAAAATTTACACCTAACATAATTAAAAATGACAATGAATCAAGTCAAGACGAGTTTTTACTCACTTTAAATTCGATTCGATTTTATAATCATAAAATTCGTACTCGTATTTGATCCAAATTTTTTAAAATTTTTTTATTCGAATATGAATCGAATTTAATATTATATAAATTGTACATGATTTGATACGATTCGAAATTAATAAAATATTATTTTTAAATATAAATATATATAAATTAAAAATTAAAAAATAATTAAAAAATAATTTTTTATATAATATCAAATCAAATTAAATTTACCTAAAATTCGAATTTGACTCGAATTTAATTTTCACTTATTAATACTCGATTTGACTCAAAATTTAATTTTTTTTTTTAAAATTAATCTTATAAAATCCGTCGATTTCATATTAAATTATCAATCCTAAACGTAATAGGCCAAAATCATATTATTTTATCTAAGAATGTGCTAGACAAAACAACTGTACGGGCAAGGATGGATTTGTGGGCTCTATTTCACAGCCGTGGAGCAACCCTCACCAAGTTTTTTATACAACAAACAATTATTTTTATTTTCCGCCCTTTTTTACTATACTCATTAATTAATTTAAAATTGTCAACTTGGGTTATTGACGTGGCATACTTCACGTGAAGATGCCAATGTGGCACACAATTGAAGGGGGGAAATCCAGGGATAGTTTTTGGGGATTGGGAGCCACTAATGTGAGAGAATAATATGTGGGACGATAGAGGCAGGAATGTGTGGAGGAGAATGGAGATAAGAGGGTTCTTTGCATACAGACTTAAGACTCTCCCCACAAGGGGTACAAACGTGCCGTTCAAAAGCAAATGAGAATGATGTGGTGTGAGCCCCCCCACAAGAATTTTCTACCCACATTAGTATTTGTTGTCTTCTGTTTGAATTTTGGATTTTTAAATTTGACTAGGTTTATTGCATGAGAAATTTAAATTAACAATTTGAAATATAATATAATATTATGATATGAAAGTGATAAAAAATTTAATTAAAAAACAACTGTATTGAAATATTTTATAAAATATTTAAATTATATTTGATGTATAAAATAATATATATAATAATATGATAATTATTTTATATTATATTTAATTTTTATCTAATTAAATAGAATAAAATTATAAGGTGAATCCTTTCAAAATAAAAAAATTATTTTTAATTTATGATATTAAATTTATGTTTTTATTATATTTTTAAAAATTACATCAATAATTTAAATTATATAAATTTTAAAAAAATAATTTTGAACTATAAATAAATTATTTTATTTTAATATTTATATATATCAAATGTAAGATAAGATAATATTATTTAATTTAATTCTATTCATAATATCATTTTATTTTATCTAATTATAATCTTATATATCAAATATAACCTTAATAAATTAATGCATGTGGTAAAATTTTGTTAATTCTATTACATTTTATTTATAAATAGTCAATAAAATTAAAAAAAATTAAAGTACGTTAACAAAATTTAAATTTAATTTATATTATAATAAAAAATTTGACTTTAATTTTTTTATGTTATAAAATTCCCGGCTGGTTGAGTACTGTAATTTATAATTATAATAAATCTGTTACGTATTTCGTAGGTTTCTTGGTTGAGCATAATCTATAATTGATAATTATAGCAGATTTTGACGTCAACAAGGGACATGGAATCATCACTTGTATTATAATGCTTTCATGTGATTCTTATAAAAAGTGAAATTTCAACGATTAAATTTAAGACTTTACAGCTTGAATTTATAATGTTTAAACTTTGGAAAAGGAGTGGTTTAATTTATAGACTGATAAAATGACCATGGAATTAAAGGCTAACCAACAGTCTCCTTTTTTTTTTTTTTGTTGATAATAAGATTAATTTGATAATTTAAAATAAAATATGGTAATATAATATAAAAATATGAAAAAAAAGTAAATGTAACATGATTTAAATTTTTTTTAAAAATTATTTATTAATTAAATAAAATAAAAAAATATTTTTTATTAATATAAACTGTGACATATAATTTTAATACGATAGAGCTAATATACAATTTAAGTTAGATTGACTCACAAATATAATACAAAAATTAAAGCACAAACAAGATTATACTAATGTAAAATTGAGAAAAAAATTACATAAGGTATTAAGAATTCTAAATTTTTTTTTAATATATAAAGTTTTTGAAGAAAATCCAAAAACCAAAAAAAGGAAAAAAAAGAAACGAGGCTGCAGTAGCTAACACAACAGCACGGAAGAAAAATTTGAGAAGCATAAAAGCAAGGGGGAAAAACAGAACCAAAAGGGCCCAATAAAAGGAAAAGATAGCAATGGAAATGCAAATCCAAAATAGTGGAGAACTTGGAGATACAGCCTCATTGTTTAGATTTCCAAAATGGTGCAAAGGCAAATGGCATACTTTTTATATATATATAAACATGTAGTTTGAAAAATAAAAGAATGGGCTATAGATATTGATATATAACTTTTAATATTTAAAAATTGAAATTCACTACTACAGTTTTTGATTATCTTGGATTTTTGTTACATTTTATGGTTAGAACTAAGTTTGAACTTTCAATTTTTGAAATTTAAAATTTAAAATTATGATATAATATTATTTTACTATCGAAGTTCTCCTTATAAAAATCGAATCTTAGTTGATAAAAAAACTCATTTTTTTACTAACTCGTGAATTCC